GATGAGATAAAAGTTTAAATAGTTTTTTTTAAAAAAAGTAATAGATAAATATTTAAATCTTTCAAAGATTACTTTAATGACCGATTTTTAATTAAAAAACTAATATAACAATAGATGTTATATAATTTACTTTTAATCAATGAAAGAAATAGTGCAATACACTTTCATGAAATGGCTTTTGGATAAGAAATTAAAAAGGCCTTATGCAAAGTCATTTTCAGTAATTAAACAGTGAAATGCAACTTAATCATGTGGTCCACTAATATGCTATGATTACGGGATAAGACGAAGAGAAACATATTTATTATTTTCATTTTTGCTATTTATTTTGGAATAATGAAATCAGATATTATTATAAGATGCTGTTTCCTGCACATGTAGGGCAGACCCGCCACCCTTGCCTTCATGTTTATGACACCCTGTGTTGTCTCGGATGCCAATTTTTATCCTTTCTTTTCCCCTATTTATTTTAATTTCTGATTTTACCAATTTTATTTAAATGATTAATTTTGTAAAATTCTGAAACCTATTAATCTTAATATCTGAGAAAAATATAACAAAAAAATGCTGAAAATAATGAAATCTTATAATGTTAACATAATAAAAGGAACCTGAGTTCTTTCAAGTTAAAAATCGAAAAATAAAATAACCCTTACAAATTTTATTGACATTTATCAAGTGAGATGTGATATAACTATATCTAACTTCAGCATAATAAAGGGAATGAGTAGCATCACAGTCTCGGCTAACTAAGATAAAATTTAAACGTTAGTTGACGAAGAATTATATTTTATTAGGAGTAAAAATATGTTGTTAAATCTACAAAAAACTAGATAAAGAAAACTTGAATGTATAATAATCACAAAGGATTTGAAAGGAGGAAATATATATATATATATATATATATATATATATATATATATAACCTAGTAAACTATAAGATTTTTGTAAAGCCATATGAAAATTCTTCATAACTTGTATATAAGATTAAGTGATTTTGTCATCATGTTTTCTTTTCTTTTACTTAGATTTTTTTTTATCTTTTCGATATTGAACAATTATTAAAGTGTTTGATTTTCTCGGCATGCTTGAATATATGTAAAAAGTACTTAATCGATTAAGTATGTGTTCATTCTAAAAATATATTAGATATTTAATGCATATTTTATGAATCATATATTTTTTTATTAGGAAAGATATAAGTCAGGATGACCCGTTTTGGTTCAAACTGTACTTGATCTATTTTTTGTAATGGGCTTACCCACCACAAAGAATGGGCCAAAAATTGTAATTCGCTCTACCATGGGTGTTGCTCCCTCCACTACCACCTCTTGCTCCCTCCACCTCCTCAACCTTCTACAAAAAAAAATTGCCTTTTTTACTTTTAAACCTATTTATTTATTTTATTCTGAAACCCTAAATTTCTATCTATTTTTACTCACCCATTTTCACTCGCAACTCCACCCCCAACTCTCCCAAGTTTCACTTTTTCTCTTTCAAGATTCCCACCCCCTCCAACTCTCACCGAATTTGTTTCTTCTCATCTCCCAACTCTTACTTCTCTTCTCCATATCCATTTAGTTCTTCTTCATATTCTTGTCTCCATATCCATTTGGTTTCGTGGTGCGACGATGCAGGATGTTTGCGGTGGTCATTCGGCGGTGCAGCGGTTCCAAACGATAATGAATATTTTATGACTCACAATAATGATCAAATTCCTCTCTTAAAGTTTTAAAATTTCAATATTTTAATTTTTTATTTAAATGATTATATAAAATGTTTCAACCTTTTTATAAAATTAACTATCCTCCACCATATTTTTTTCTGACACATTGCGACATATATTTCTTCCTCATGTATCAACATTTTTTTATGTGAGATTGCTTAACTCTTCGTACGTTGGTGTGGGTAAGATAAACAATCAGAAAGTTCAAAAGATACAACAATGGAAAGAAACATAAAAAACAGTGAGACAAAAGAAAATGAAACATAGAAACATGGGTCCACCATTAAAATGGTTGTGTTGTTTGGGTGATGAGATCGAAGAGAGAAAGAAACAACATAACTGTCAATAACAAATGCTTGTTGGTTAAGCATAAACCAGACCATCCCATTCATATAGGGGATTGGAGTGGGTAGAAGTTAAAAAATATTAACCCTAAAAATAAAATTATACTAAAGGGTAAAACAGGAATAAGAAGGTGGAAGAGGGATAAAACAGGAATGGGGAGGTAGAGGGAACAAGAGGTGGTAGTGGAGGGAGCAACACCCATCTACCATAAGACATGCCTATGAATTGGCGGATTGACCCATCACTATTTTTTAAAAAATTTTAATTATATTTTTAAAATTTGTTTGTGTATATACTTATAAATAAATATTTAAAGCGTATTGAATCATATAAATATTTTCTAAGCTTTTAATTGACTAATTAGTATTTTTAATTGAATAAATTAAAATAATTATTACATTTACATATAAAATTATTCTATTGTAACTAATAATTGAACCTTAGCTTGTAATTGTTAATGATTTAAATTACTATAGTATTGCATATTTACATCTTTGCATAAGTATAATATAAACAATTTAATCTTTTTAATTATTTTAATTTTAATTTTTAGTTTAAAATACAAGAATAAAAAACAAACGAGTTGACAGGTTGACAATCCCAACCCAACCAGTCTCGTTTTGGTGGACTAGTAGGTTGGCCCACAAGACACAACCAATTTTGACACCCTACCTCCTACCTAACTACCTCTATTTAAATATGATGCAAGTTCAATTCTCCTCTAACTATGTTTAGTTATGCTAATCATGCAGTTAACGTGATCAATCATGTTCTTAATCCCTTGTTGTCAATACTTGGTTTATTTAAGGTATGTCAAAGTCGAATGTGTGTGGTCGAGAGGTTTTCTAGCTTGCGAAGGAGTCACAACTGTTGCTATTTCATTGTTCGCACTCTCAAATTCATGCTCTTAGTCTTAAGTTTTTGGTATGAGGTTCTCGGCCTTAGCAGCATGCATTACGCATCTCAAGTTCTTGGTCTCGATCTCATGTCGGCTAATGACTTTGTAATTGCAAAGAAATATCTTCTTTGGTGGTTAGGTTGGATTGGGCATATATGAATATTATACCTGTAAATTCCTAATAAGAGAATAACTACTTAAAAGGAAGTTGTTGTGCAATAATGATGACCAAAGTTTCTTTTGTGAAGAACATTTTGAAATTTGTTAGAGAAAAGTTTAACATTTATGTTTGTGATTATGTGTTATATAAACAACAAAGTATAAAACATTCAAATTTCATTTAGAAGATGAAAACTTTTTGTTTAATAATAGATCATGAAGATATTGCATTTGTGAGATGATGTAAAATTTCTTTTTGTCTCTTTTTACGTCAGATGATCATTGTGTACTTAGACGATACATACATAATCTTAAGTTTGCTTACACCACATCAACGATCTATTGGAATACGAGCTAAAGTTGTTTTTGCTTCAACAACTCCTTAGCACATGCTTTGTCAAACTTGAAAAAAGTTTATCCACTTTGAACACCTTTAGTTTTACATGATTTAAAGTAAATGTACTTTATCCATTAGAGATTAGTACATTCAACTATCATAATAATGCTTAAAGAAGGGAAAAACATTTAATGCAAGCATGAAATACAATTAATGCATCTTTGATGTTCAAATTGTTCATATGCAAAGAAAGACATGAGTGACAAAGGCTGACTCATTCCATATAAGAAATATAGACTAATTTATATTATCTGTTTTGAAAAATATATGGTCCTCAAGCCTACTCACCCACATAAAGATTGTTTATTTTTTAATTTTGTTATTTTGAATCAATAAGCATAATCCAATACGTCCAAAGAAGAAAAAAAATGTAATTTAAAACATAATCAATAAAACAATCATTTTACATTTTTTGAATCTTGATTTTTCCCATTGTGACCATCAAGATTTTTTATTAAAATTATGAGCATTATAATGGTTAGGTTCACACATTTATTTGAATATTTAATTAATAACCCTTATACTTTATACACACATAATGATTACAAATCACCTTTCTTACATTATAAAGTATTTGTATTTCTATGTTAAAAAATAACCTATAGAATATTTTGAACTTTTTATGTCGAAATAGATTGAAATGAAAAAAAAAACAATGTTTTACATGAATGCTAAATTTTTGCACACAAGGAATCAATTTTTGACTTAAAAAAATTAAACTATACTCACCTTTTTCAGGTATTGTGAAATTATACAAACCCTTTCAACCTTTTATAAGGAAATGGTGGAATGCTTTAAGTTATAATGTATAAAGAGTGTAAGTGTGATATTTTTTCAATAATTAAAAAAGTTTGGTGGAAGGGAAAATAGAAATTATATATAATTTCACAAAATCTCATAGATAACAATGTAATTTATTCTAACTAAACTAATCATATAATTCCACCAAAACAAAATAATATTATCTTTAACACTGTTTTTGGATCCAATTATTTACAGATTTATTGTGGATGAAAAAGTGGAGTAGAGAAAGGGGGTATTTTAACGGGTTTAGGGATTTGTATATGTTTGCATTTAAGGATTTTATTGAAAAGAATAAGAAAGAAAGAGGAGAGAGAGGACACCCTCTCTATTTTTATAATGTGCATTTTAATTTGTATAACGAATTTCACCGGTGAGTAAATTCACATTGTAATATTGCTTTAATATAAGATGCAAATTTGTTTCCAATTTATTAAATGAATATATATGCTCATCTACTTATTTTCACTTACTCTTTCGTATATTCAAACATTTTCACTTTTCACCCAAGTGGCTTAATTCATCATTACCCCAAACTCAAGGGTTAATTATATGCATAATCAATTTTACATAAAAGATACAAAAATACCAGTGTTATTCAATAACTTTTACCATAAAAAAGTATATTGTGTAAATATAAATCAGTGAAAAATGAGTTGTAGAATTTACATGATTTTTTTTCAAGAGTGAAGTATTTTGATAATCTTGCAATTATTTATACCATACTTCTATTATAAGACCCTGGATTTCACAGATGAATTACTTTCTTTTGGCTGCAAATATAATACATTTGTGGGTGTATAACAACACATCAATACATATAAACCAAAACCATTTCAAGAACTTTGTTCCTCAAGTACCACAGGCAGCTCCAACTTTTCACTGCCCCTCTGAACCATCAACACCACTTTATCTCCTACATTATACTCATCCAATGCTTTCAACAACTCTGCTTTGCTCTTCACCTGCAAAGGATGCACCAAACTTATTATCAAATAAATTAACACAAGTTTATCATATGCATTGCTGAAATCAAACTCTAACTATGATTAGAGAGAATGGCACAAACACTTAAGGAAATTAACAAAAAAATCTTCAGAAGAGGACTCACAGGCTTATTGTCAACTGCTACAATGATATCTCCAAGGACTATATTTCCGGCAAATCCCCTTGTGGTGGGATTTAAACCAGCTTTGGCAGCAAGACTATTTGCAGGAACCTGAGGAACACAAGTTCAAGAGAGTTAAAGAATGATTTATAAGTGTTAAGAAATACACTTTAAACTTAACTCAATCTCACAAATTGTAAAGTGAGGCTTGCACTCACTCATTATATATTATAAATTTGTCTTATTTCGGGTCGACGTGGAATCTCTAACAATAAGTAAAGTTTAATTACAGTGTAACTAGAGAATCTTGTGGATTTACCAGAAGAACAATAGCTCCATTTCGAACATTAAGTTGGTTTGCAATTAAGTCCGGCGCAATATCCACATTTACACCAGCTCTAACAACCTTGAATGACAAATTATGAAACAAAATGTAAATGTAGCCATAAATACATAGGTCTTAAAAATTATGCAGCTACATTGTCAAAACAGATATTATATATAAATATTATATACAACAGTTGTTTTCCTGTGTTTTCTTCCCAAACAAAACAACAAAGCATTTTCTCTCTGATTAAAATCTAGAAAAAATAACGTGCTTTTTGCATTAAATCATAAAAGGACTATCTACCAACCATGAAACCTTGTCATATTAATAAGGATATCACAGCAAATATAAAGACTAGCTAGATTCTTTTTGCATATGTTGGCTCCATGAAACACTTACTTTTCCAAACTGAATGAGTTGAGGAACAATTCGCAATACAGTTGAAGATGGGATCGCAAATCCTACACCAGCTGATGTTCCTGCAATAGCAAGAAAAGAAACAAAAGCATGAACCCTGCAAAACTAGAACAGCAACTAGAACTTGCAGCTTAAACAGTCATTTCGCCATGCAAAGTAAAGTGAATGGATCAACAATGTAATGAAGGAAAGATTGGTAACACGTGAACCCGAAAGATTTTCTCAAGCTAATATTTTCATATATACCAACATCAATGGTTTCAGATAGTACAATTCCTTCGATTGTATGGTACAATAACTTTGCCTGTCGAGTAAATATTGCAGTATTAATCCCAATTAAGCTTCCTTTCGAATTGAGAAGGGGGCCTCCGCTGTAAACATCATAGGAAAAGTAAGAAATGCAGCATTTGATATAACAACCAGTTTAACACTCAATACCATCATGGAAAAGAAAAAGAAAACATTTTGACCAAGTAAACAGCACCAAACTCAAGAAAGGGAACTATTTCTAGTTCATTTATTTAAGGAGCCTAGTGTAAACCTGTTCCCAGGATTTATTGCAGCATCAGTTTGAACACCACCACCCCACCAATTGTTACCCCAGTTTGACTAAGATATCTCGGTTAAGTCCACTAATAACCCCAACTGTGAGGGTGTGATCAAAACCAAATGGATTTCCAATTGCCAAACATTGCTGCCCAACTTTTAGAGAAGATGATTGCCCCCCTTGAAGGCCTTAACATATCTTTAGGGGCATCTACCTGTATTTGTTGATTGGTAATACTTGTCCATGTGTTATGTTACAGCATGCCTCAAATTTTATTAACTATCCAACGAGTTTATTAAAAGAAAGCACTTTTAGCCACCATAATTTTTAATGCACAAGTAACATGGATGAACTAAAGAAGAAGACAACCTTTTGAATTTGAATGATGAATTAATCATTTGATGGAATAAGAATAGAATCTTATAAAAGTAAAACAGAAACTAACATAGAGAAGACCTCATATTACTAGGAACCTCAGTAACAACAATAGAATATCCAACTTGGAAGATAAAAAGTTATAGAGTGCAACAGAGATGTTATGATTTACAGAAGAAATAAATTCAGAAAGTAAAAAAGAAATCATGCCTTCAAGACAGCGAGATCCTTTAAACGGTCAGCTCCAATGAGTACACCTTCAAAATTCTTTTGTAACCTTTATATAGTAGAAATCAGAATTACTGTTAGTTCAAACCGAATTTGGAAATTAATATGCAAAGAAAAAACGTCCACTGACATCACCCTTCTGATGCCCCCCCTAGAAATATTAACTCAGGCAAACCCCACCAGCCTTTGGGTTTTTTGAAAGGGCATTGCCAACTACTGAATAATACAAGAATGTAACAATCACAAGTACACCTGGTCTTGCAAGCCTACCGTATACACTGAGATTGGGAAAACATGCATACAAATTAACAAGCGCACAGTACAGAGCATTCTATCATCAGCACAGCAAATGACATTAGGTCAATAGGCAAGCAGAAAAAAGGAGCTGAGAATTCAAGAACGGAGCAAAGAGGAAGATAAATCAAAAATGTTAAAAGCAACGATACCAATCAACAAATACTTGTCACAAACATCAAATACACATGCCAAAACAGAAGTCCAGCTTGAATCTGATCACATACAGAAAAAGGCTGATCCACAACGAGAAACCTAAGCCCGTTCACATGGAGAGCTCAACAAAAATCTTACGAAGAGAAAGCAAAAGAAAAAGCTAAATGTGTGTGTGTTGTTAAAGATTGAAGCAAAACAAAACATAGAAACTGTCCTCCTTGCCTGATTCCTCACCATGATAATTTCACAAAATGTGGCCCTCCTCATCCCACACTACTCCAGAACCATTTCCTTCAGGAATCTGGTAATATAGATACAAAAAACAAATTAAACTGTTTGATATTCTATTGTAGGATAGAATAAAAAAATCTATCATGCTTATTAGATAGACGCAATATAATAATTAAAAAATAAATAGAGTCCTTGATAAGACCTTAAAATGATTTAAAATAGTGTAATAGAATTATACTGAGGTACCTCAACCACACCATTATATTAATCTGAGTAGTAGTGTCACATCAAAATGTTACAACAGATATGTGTTTCTTTCATAGCTGGACAATTCGATCCTGAAAAACCACAATGAATTGGAATTAACTATGCTACAACAGTATGAAAATTGCCCACACCCCCCCACCATTCAGCCACCCAGACAAAAAGGGATATAGTTAAAGCTGACCCCTATGGGAAAAGAGTGGCCCAGAAGAAAACACAGGAGGGGTTACTTCTTCAAGTGTTACTGATGGATCTCCCAATGCTAGGGCTGTACATTTACAAGTTATGACATGAAGATAAACTTTGCTGGTAAATACTAAAAAGAGACTTGCATAAAAGAATGCAAAAAATATGCTTTATAATGAAAGAAAACACAAATTAAAACCGCTGCTAGAATTTGGAATTACTGCACTTCACCATTTATGTATTTAAATTGATGACATATTACCACTTGAACTCCTGACAAACCATCGGGTTCCCTAGAATAACGGCTGACAACATTTCACACAGTCCAGCGTACAATCATTTCTCATTGCTCTTTTTTTTTTCTTCTAATATCATACATAGAATTTTTAACAAAGTTAAAAATAAAAATTAAAAGGTTAGATTCAAATTCTTTCTCTCCGACTACAGAAAATTTTCCTCCCACCATTGGCAACTCACAGCTCCATGTCCATGTTATAAACTACTAGTCAAATACACCAAACCAAAGCTGATCCATCTTACTAGCATTTACAAAAATATAAATATAAATATAAATATAAATATTTTAGCAGATTAACAATACCCTGTTAATAGTTTAATTGTCATGCACTATGGGCGCAAAGATTTTTACATGGTCAAATAATTATATTGGGTAATATTATATCTTCCTACAAATCCTCATAACACTTTATAAAGAAAGTATTAAATGTAAAAGAAAATGCGTTTGATGATAGAAAATATTCTATTATTTCATTATCTAGTAAGTAGGAAAATTAATAGCAAGAGAATATAGGAAGTATTGGATTGGAACTATTCTTAGAAATAGCTTTAGATATGTTTTCCAAAGTAATAATTACGAAAGTCTAACAATTTTACCATCCCGTACATACATAACAATAGTTATGAACTTACGAACATATAACCAATCAAACAAGTTGAACACAAAAGCAGAACCGTGCGGACCTGACATGTACCTTGAAGAACATAAACAGGAAAACATAGTTAAACTCGCCACTAACACACGTCGTGTTGGAGATAGAACAAGATTCTTCACCATTTCATCAAAATCCAAAGTTTTATCTTGAACTCGAATAGTGCTGCCGCTACATGGTATTCAATCAAACATGCACACGTCAATCAAAGTCTCAATCCCACATAAAACAAACAACACCAACAACGAAAACGCACTCTTGGATGCACAAAGACTCAAACTTTGCAAACGCAACCACAAAAGACACACCAAATTGCAGTTTGTCATGAAAAACTTATGTTTTCACAGTTAATTACGAAAGAGAAAAAGAATTATGCAGTCCTAATGTAAGCTTATATTGTCATTCAATCACAAATTGTCATGTATGATAAATTTGATGACTTTTGCTGTCATGTCAGTGTTTAATAACACTTTTTTTTTGTTTTTTTTTCCCGCTGTTTCTTATGCAAACTTTTGAAAACAGTAAAACAGAAAATGCTTTTCCAAACCAAACAGCCCCTAGTTTGAGAATGAAAATGCACTCACAAAGACTCAAACTTTTGAAACGCAACCACAAAAGGCCCACACCCAGTGCAATTTTTTACTGAAATCTCAATTTGCAAAACCAATGAGGATAGACAGCGTAATGGGGGCAAACCTGGTGGGTGTAACGGCGTCGTTTGGGGAGTGTTGAGAGTGAGAGCAGACAGAGGACATTCCATCAAAGCAAATCTCACGGCGGCTGAGGAAACAGCTTCTTCTTCTTCTTGTGCGGGTTGGAACACCCACTGACCACAAATTACAGGCTGATAAAACTTGCATTTCTGATTTGGGGTGAAAATTGGAGTGAAAAAAACGCAAACTTGGAAGCTGAATTTTGGGGAGGGGAAGGAAGAGGGATAAGGGGTTAAGGGTGGTTCTATGATTATGGAATTTGAGATATTAATGGCATGTTTTCGGACAGAACAGAATCTATGGTTGAAGATTTAAAAGAAAGAAAAAATTCTATACTTGTGTTGTATTTGTGATTTTCTCCATTGAAGTTTTATCTCAAAATATATACAAATACTTATTTTGTATACTATAGAAGTGAAATTTTAATTTTTGATGGAAAAAAAAGGTATAAAAATTATTTACAGAATTTATACTAAAAGTCATCCTTAATTTTGATTGAAAAACAATATAAGCATGGATTTTTTGGATTGAAAAACAGCACTTGAAAAAGTGAATTATCAAATTAAAATTCTAATTTGAATATAAAAATGAAATTTTAAAATATAATGAATGAGTGGAATTGAATTAAATTAAAACAATTTAGAGATTAATTTTAGACATTCTCATTATTCAAGGATTACAGATTTTACATTGCTAATTAATTAAAAAAAATACTTGTATTGAATTTTAAATCAATTATTATAAATCTTAACAATTTTACAAACTAGTGTACAACTGGATCATTTAATAAAACCTTTTAATGCTTCTAAGTTAAATTTTTAAAATTATTGTTTAATTGAGAAAACTTTTTTTTTTATTGTTGTTTAAAAGGTGCTTTAAGTTGGAAAGAGCATTTAAACGTTTAGATTGTGTTCGCATGAACGGATAACACTGTTAATGCGAAATTACGAGAGATGATTTAATTACGTTGTGTTCTTCGTTTGAGAGGATAAGGAGGGATCAACGACGATGGATTTGCAGGATTCAGTCCATTTTCGTCAGCTCCAACATGGAAGAGATTTGCGCGGATAGTAAGGGAAAAGTCATGTGTGTCCTCCACTTATTACCTAAATTTCATCCATGTATATCTATTAACCATGTATAATTGATTCCTACACAGAACCAATTCGAAAGACTTTATAAAAAAAAATTGATAACAGTTGAATGGTGGTCAGGCTTTTACTTTTAATATTGTACATACACGAGAGTGCTTGGCTTGGCGTGGTGGCTTGGTTACATAAATATTCCTGAGCTTTCCTCAGTTGATGTTACCTTGCTTCATAAAGTCATTCAACAGCAAAGATTCCTGCACATACACAGTGAAAGTGTAGTATGAATATGAAAGCACCATTGACCAGAACACGGACTTCATATGTGGTTGCTAGTGGGTAGGTCGTTATATTTATTGAGGGATCAGAAGCATAATATATTGGTTGCTAGTGTTGAAAGCTGTGTGCGAAGGGAGAGTTGTTGGCTGTTTTGCTGAGACGAGGAAGACAAAGTGGTGAGGTTAGTAGAAGCTATTATGATGTATGTGCAACCAGATATTGTTGGTTTTCATTTGCAGGTTTGTAAACGGGGAGGAAGAACGACGTTGTCCGTGTTGATGGCATGAAGAAGCAAAGGCTTGAAGAAGATGAATTTGCGTGTTTGAGAGCCGAAGAAGACGATGTACAGTGTAGGAAGAGGGTGGCGTATTCAGTTATAGCAGAACGTAATCGGCTACAGTGGTATGAAGATTTTTCTGCACATGTGTATTTGGTTTCCTCAAAGGTGTATCCAGTTACGGGCCAAGAAATATTGTGGAAGAAAATAAATTCGGTTACAGTTTGGGGTATTAGGTTCAAAAACGATCTCGGCAGCAGACGATGGAAGCGTTCAACCAGGGTTGTTCTTGGACGACACCGTGGAGGAGATGATTAACTGGAGTGGAGAGGTATGGTAGGGGTGAGTGGTGGTGGGTGAAAGATATGTAGTCCATGCAGAGGAGTGAATGGTGGTGGGTGAAAGATCACGAGCTCTGACAGTGTGTTTGTGATGCATGTGTTGACTGGTTGGAGGTATTGTGATCGTGGTGGACGTACGTGCGTGAAAGTGGTGGAGATTGCCAACGTCGTGGAGCAATGTGTGAGCTACGAAAGGTGGTGGAGGTGAATCAACAGCATCATTTTGTATCATTGTGTGTACTTGGTACTGTATGGAAGTAATTACTGTTTTCTTTTTGTTTGTTGAAAATGAAAGCAAAGTGTCATGACTTGGATGGTTTAAGTATGAGTTCTTAACCATTTTTTATACAGATGCATTGGTAACAGAGGTGGCTATGCGGTTAGTTGTGAAAGTGGGGGACTGTGGTGCATCAGTAGAGCAAAGTGGTAAAGTTGAATGTAACATTGAAACTTAATTTCACTCTTGTGCAAGCATCGAAAAATGGGGCTGTTATCTAATGAACTCATATAATTATATTTGCAGGTTAGGTTTGTTTCAGAGTGAATTTGTAAATTCAGAATTCTAGGTAGCATCTACATAAGGACAAATTGGTTGTGTGATTGGACGAAAAATCCTAGTGCCCCTCATTTGTGGAAATTTCTCTGTGAATCCAACTTCAACTGTGCATACGTGTTGAACGTCTTCAAGAGGTAAGTGTTAAAGATGATTTCGCTATAATATATATATGAATGATTGAATTAATGGTGGTTATATGTAGCTTTAAGAGTTTCAATATATGAATGAAATATATTATGTTGATTTATATTTCTATGTTATTTAATATATGAATGTATTAATATTTGAAATATGAATTTGATTTGTTATATGTATATGTATGTAGTTCATAATAAAGATATGAAATGTTGTTGTTCTGTTATGTTATTTATTGTTGTTTATTTATAATGATTAGTTGAATGTATTAATGTATATACCAATTATGTTTATTGAATATATGAATGCATGATTTTGATTATAGTATGGACTGGAGACAATGACAGACATTATATTAGCTTGTTGTATCTTACTATGGATTGGAGACAATGACAAACATTATATTAGCTTGTTGTATCTTACACAACTTCCTTCGTGACGTGGATAACGATGATTCATTAGTTGCTGAAGTTGATAATGAGTTGAATGAAAGGGAAGACCATAATGTTTCATCATCTCAAGTTAGAGAAGAGGACCATAAGATTGGTAGTAGTATAAGGGATTCTATAGCAGATCATATGTGGCGATATTATCAAAACTCGTAGTTATTGTATTTTATTGTGTTGTATGAGTATTTGATGTTATGGGTATGACAAGAACATTATATTAAGGATGTTTAATGTTAACTTCTTACCATTTTGTTTATGAATTAGGTATGAAATGAACAGAGGTAAGACAGCCGCCATTGAGTCCTCTGCTCTTACTAGAGAGTTCATGAAGTGGACAGAGGACATGGACGCACATCTTCTACACTATATGATTGAGGAATCACGAATCAATAATAAGATTGACGGAAGATGGACATCCCAAGCATATAGTAACATAGTTGATCATCTTCATAGCTCTGGGTATGTCGCAATTACAAAAAATAATGTTAAAAATCGTTAGAAAGTGTTGAAAGATAAATGGCGTGAGGTACATGACCTGTTTTCTGGATTGAGTGGATTTGCGTGGAACCCGGTTAGTATGACATTTCAAGCTGAGGACGAAGTTTGGATGAACCTCATTGAAGTACTTTTAAAAAAAAACTAAGATTTTGTGGATCCTTATAATACATAAATGAAACAGTGTGTTTGTTCTGTTTGTTGTTTCAGTCGAGGCCAACTGCGGCAAAGTGGAGAGTTAATATTATGAAACACTACGATTTAATGGTGGAGTTATGGGCTGCTGATCGAGCTACTGGGAGTGGTGTTCGGACCGCTCGTCAAGCACGTCGATAGTGGGTTGGTCCTTGTGTCAGTGTTGATTTGAATCAAAATATTGAGTACATTCCAGAACAGCTTGAGTGGACGGGGTATAGAGACCCAACTCCACCATCACCGCCTCCATCTGTGGATTAATATAGTTCAGGACAGACTCAATCTGTGTCTTCCATCTCATCCGGTGGAACTTCATCCTCACGAGGCTCGAAAAGAAAGGCACCTATGGTCGATGTCATTGATTCTCAATTTGATAAGCCTGAACGGTTTCGCAAATGTACTAAGCTCATCAAATGTACATTTTGGTGTAATTTTTGATGCAGTCGTGCGTCAAGTCTCAGCAATGGAAGATAGAAATCAAATACTACGTTCCCAAACAGAGATCTTTCGTCGCATCCCGAATTACACATATACAGAGGCGAACATTTATGAAATGTTGAGTGCTATGAACATTGCTGATAAAAATTTGCTAGAGCAATGTTATGATTTCTTATGTGGAAACCCCACATGTACAAAGAGATTGATGGGACTTCCACCACACAAGAGGTAGAATAAATTATGTAAAATGATCTCGGAAGGTGACTGTTAGGAAGTGTTATCTGACTAGTTGTATTACTATTATATTCAATAATGTTTCTGTGATCTAATTATGACTTATTTTTCCATCCATCTTCAATTTGTAAGTTATGGTTATGGTTTCGATGTAATGGTTTGTCCTTGTTATTTTTAAATATAAATAATTTCTTATAATTTACTTTGTTATTGTTTTCATTAATTGCTTTGTTCAAGAAATTGTCAAATGGCCTCATCATCAACCAAAAGGCCAAGAAAAAGTGGTAAGGGAAAAGAAACCCTCACTAAGGTAGAAGATGGAACCCATGTCAGACCATCTTATGTAGAAGAATAATTAGATCATCATCTTCTATTTTAAGGGGTGGTCGAATTTCCTACATTGTATACAAGAAGTATTGTTGGTCCAAAGATAATGAATTTTGAATCATTTGTAGATTCAGGCTTATTTTTCCAAAATCATCTTCTATTTTAAGAAGTGGTCGAATTTCTTACATTGTAAGAACCCTACTATCTGGATTTAATCAAAGTTTTTTATTCAAATCTGAAAATTTCTGAAAATGGATATTTACTGGTTATACCAGAAATGCAACGTCACCGTATTAAAACGGTTGGTTGTTTGAATATTAACGATAGACTTCTAGAAGAATGGTAAACAATTATTTCATTAAATTTGCAATCAAATAATTTCAACTTATTTTTTAATTATTAAGTCTCATAAGATACAGTCATTAATGAAATAAAGTTGTTGCCGTGCTAAAACTAAATTCCAAATTAACTTATTTTATGAAATTTGTATGAATGTTAATTTATATTTTTTATCATTATTAAATATTTTTAAAAATATTATGAATTTATTTTGTATAGAAATGGAAATTACACTTCCATAGAAGGAAATTTCTCTAAATACGCACCAATTATTTGTTTTTTTTATAATTTAGCTAACAAATAAAACAGCACAAAATAAATAAAAAATATATTTATCTAAGAACAATTTAAATAAATAATTATTTATTATACAAATAATGACAACAATTTTAATCACTAAAATTTACATTTAAAATAAAAAATTACGAAAACCTATCGAACGATTATATACTTCAAACAACAATCTTCCAACTTTACAAAATGTTTTAACACAAAAGACCTGTTCACCCAATCCTGTACGACACGAGCAATCCTGTCACTGAAGAACGCTATATAAAACAACAAAAGACAGCAAACAAAATTTAAAAATGACATTTTAAACACCATTTAGCACAACAACACACAACTAATAAACAAAAATACCTCAGTTGAAAGAATGTTTGTCTCATGGCCAGTCCCAAATGGTAAAGGCAGCGACGCCGCTCCACAAGGCAATGGAATATGAGACCACTCTAGCGGAGATGCCACCCCTAAGGGCAGCTCCGTCACGCCGGAGAATTGTTTTATGACGGTTACTTGAGAACATGCAAACACAATTTGTTTGCCCTCAAAAAAGTGCGAGACTCCAGATCAGAAATCTCCCGTCAAAGAAATTATATCAAACAGAACAACTAAATCATTGCAATAATAGCAAATAGCATAATACAAACAATGCCAGAAGATCCGCTCAGAAAATGAATTGTCATTCTCATTGATTTTTAAATCTCTGAAGTCTGACATGTGAATTTTATTCGTAAATCATCATCGCAGAACAAGATGTAAATCAAACAATTAAAAAACGTTAATCAAAAATAGGTATTACGTGAATAACAATAAAAACAATTGGAAAATTAACAAATTAATGGCTCTCATACACAATTAAATTTCCGCTCACGTAATAAATCGGAATAGCGTATACTGCAATTAAAGCAAAAAAATCACTGAGCCAAAACAAATCACAATATACGCATGAAAACAATTGACGAAACGAAACAACAACAAAATAGTTCTACCTGTAATTGGAGATCAGAAATTGGTAAGATTTGTCGGTCACGGTAATTCAGAAACACGGACCAATGTAAAAATCATCACATCTCCTTACTGATCTTGTCGAATAAAGATGAAAAGAATGGGAGATGCAAATTCAAAATTAGAAAACAAAAATACAAAAGAACCTATTTCAAACAATGGTGGCAGTCGAAAATCAATCATCAGAGACTTAAATACAAGGAATCATGGAACGAATCCAATCATATTGTTGCAGTTTTTTTCCTCATCACATGATTTTAAAAGAAGGAAAGAAAATAGCATACAGAAACATAAATCCTAAAATTTGAGAGAACGAAGAAACCTAATCGAAAGGAACCTGTTTGACTGAAACCTTAACAGATTGAAGAGGCAACATACTGAGACCCTGTGAGTTAAGCCCTTGCTTTGCGTATTTATAAGCAAGGAGAAACCCTAAAATTAGAACATGGATGCGGAATGGGCCGGGTCCTGATAATTTGGGCCTTTTCTCTCTTCTGTTAACTTTCTTTATTCATATAATGGCAAGGATTTCGGTGTGCAACTCCAATTGTTTCAAAAATTCCATAATTAATCTTAATGAATACTTTATTTCTCTTTTTTATTAAACTCATTCTATATCTCTTTTAATGGATATTTGACATCTTTAACGATTTGATTAACTGACTTCGAAATAGGATTTTGTATTAAATAAGATTTCGAAATCAGATAAATATTTAATTTAATATATTAAATAGGATTTTGTATTATTGTATATATTAAATAATTTTAAAATATTAAATTAAACTAAGAATATATATTAAATTTTAAATAAAAAAATTTAAAAATTTATTAAACAGATTTTAAAATTGGTTAAAACATGTTAACAGATTGTTAATACATGATAATCCGTTTAACAAATTTCTTTAAAATTTTGTTTTTTATTTAAATTTTAATAAACATTTAATTTAATACTCTAATATAATCAGATTTTATATTTTTGTTATGTTTGTTTTATTATTTTCATTATTACTTTATTCTAATTATTTTTAATTTATTTTTACTCTTTTAATATAACTATTATATTAACAGAAATTATATTTAATAATTATTAAAATATAAATATATATTGAATAACATCAAAATTTTAAATTAAACTACATTATTATTTCATTTTAAATTTAAAAACAGAATTTTAAAAAGTTTGTTAAACGGTTTCTGAAATCCTGTTAATATATTTAACAAAAAATAAATAAATTTTGTTTTTTAATTTAAAAATTAATAAATACTTATTTAGTTTAATATTTAATATATATTAATATATACTATCGTTTTAAAATTTATTTTACTCAACTAAAATACGAGGGAGAAATTCAAGCATTCTGAACTATGTTAACCAGGGGGAGTTTACCGTTTAGAGAATTTTTTTTTACATGCTGTCTAATCCATATTAATACATTGTTTAAAGTGTGATAAGAATTACTACCATGATATTTTAACAATCTTTTTTAATAATTTTTTGACAACTATTGCATTGGTTCATATATTTAAAATAGATCAATCACAAACTATCACATAGATTGTTTTAAAAGATTATAAAAAAAATTATTAAAAAAATATTTTCCTAAGATTTATTTATGCAAGTTCATTCTCAGTTGATTATTATTTATTTCACTCTAATTCTCTTCTATTTCTTTGCTCTAATATAATTCTTTTTATTTATACTTTGAGACATTACATTCATGCATCTACATATGCTCTGGAAAATTATTTGTAACTTATGAGAAGCCATATATCATTCATATGCATATTGCTTTGATAATACGAGCATTATACGTATATATAATATCCTTTGATGCTTCAATGATTGTATATATTTTGATAGCTTGTGTGAAAATGTTCCATATCGATGACATTTGCTATGAGATTTCGTTAAAGCTTTTATACTTCGTTGAATAAAGTTTTACGTAAGATTTTGATAGTATTAGATTGAACAATTGCTTTACTTCGGTAGTATGAACCTCCTATTCTAAATATATACAAAGAGCTATAATGAAATTCGACTAACATGATAGTTTTGACAAAATATTTTAAATTATTTCTTATTTTTTTTTTACAATGTTCTATAGTATACATTTCGTGTTAGCATGAGTATTTGCTAAATATTAAAATTGGAAAGATTGTTAAGATAACATCGTCTAATGAGATAATATCATCTAATAACTTATGTTTTGAAATTTAACAAACTATGTTTAACGAAATAACATTTAATAAAATAAACTCTCTAAAATAAGATTACTAAACATTGTAATCATATGAACACTATCCTAAACGCTCAACATTACTTTAAAAATATAAACTGTTTAAACGTTAACTACACATACATTGCCTAAAAGCTTAAGGTATAACGTATTAAATGCATGTATGTATAGTATTATTTTATCTATTGTGTTGTGTTCTCTTTATATGTGCAAATTATAAAAGTACAAAGCTTTTTCAAATGTTTTGCATTAGATCAGAAGAATGTTAAGAGATAGGAAGACATTATGGAAATGTTTTCAAGTGCTTTGTACTCTGCATCCACACAAGCTATCTTTGCAAAAACATATAGCATCTGACTTCATACCAAAAGGATACTTACCTACGACCATATCTTTTTCAAAAAAGACTATATAAAGATAATTGTATGAAGAGAAGATAAGCATAATACACTCATTATTGTTATGCTCTCAAAATTTCGTTGTCTAGCATTGTCTTTGAAAAATTAAAGTTTATCACAAGTCTTCAATTTATTTGTAATGAAATCTTATCCTCTTTGTGAAAGTTATAATTTGTATTTGTTTCCTAAAACACCTTTGATGTGTTTGTATATTCACAAGTAAATTAAAATACTTTGTTTGACTTAGTAAAGTTAAATGGTCCAATCAATTAGACAAAGAGGAGTGGTGAAACTCATCTAACTATTGAGTTGGTTGTAAAAACAAGAGTAATTAAACTCATTATAATCTTTTAGTAAAATCTTTAAGCTCTTAAGAAAGAATTGGATATAGTTCAATTTAGAACGAATCGGTATAAAAATAAATTTGCTTTATTAATTTTGGTTTTAAAAGTTTTTCTAAATACTTTTAAAAATATTTAAGAGTGTAACTTATTGCAAACCGTCTACTGTAAAAACACTTATTTTCAAAAGTTTAAAAAAAATCTATTCAACCCTCTCATTTTCAATTTTTTTCCTACGTTTCATTTAATATATCATAAAAAAATTAATAGAAATTTAATCAAAATATATTCAAACAATATTATATATATATATATATATTTAATACAAAGAAGTAATAATTTCCACATATTAGGATTCATCACCAACTTACTTGAAATATGATCCTACTTGTGTTTTGAATTTAATTTTACATTCTATCTGTTGCTGTTGTCTTCAATACACATTATATACTAATATTGTATATTCTCAGTAATACTTGTATACCAATAAAATTATTATTATATGATAAAACTATATGAAATATTATTTTAAATAATATTTTATGAATAAAAAACTAACTAGTAATATAATGAAGTATTACATAATTTATAATTTATCGCTAATAGCTTATTAAAAAATTTATAAAAAGTGTATAGGATTATGGTACTTAAAAAAGAATATTAAATATACTACATAATTGAATTATACAATTAAAACTAACCCAATTTTTTTAATAATAATTTATATTTTTCATACTAAATTCGTTGATGATAGGAACAAACATTAAAAAATTGTTAAAAGTAACAAAAGTAATTTATTAACATTAAATTGATCCATGACAATATTTGCAAATTGTAGGACTTAACTTAAAATATATTTAAGTTAAATGTTTTATGTTATTTTAGTTAAAGTAAGTGTGATAGGAGACTAAGAGTCTATGAGAGGAGAAGGAAGAGTTAGTAGAGTTAGTTACTCTAACTGTCTTAACAGTTAGAAAGGGCGCGGGTTAGACTTGTATATATAGGTAGTAGTTATCTGCTGAAAGACACTTTTGGACTACTTGTATTCTTTGTANAATTAACAAATTAATGGCTCTCATACACAATTAAATTTCCGCTCACGTAATAAATCGGAATAGCGTATACTGCAATTAAAGCAAAAAAATCACTGAGCCAAAACAAATCACAATATACGCATGAAAACAATTGACGAAACGAAACAACAACAAAATAGTTCTACCTGTAATTGGAGATCAGAAATTGGTAAGATTTGTCGGTCACGGTAATTCAGAAACACGGACCAATGTAAAAATCATCACATCTCCTTACTGATCTTGTCGAATAAAGATGAAAAGAATGGGAGATGCAAATTCAAAATTAGAAAACAAAAATACAAAAGAACCTATTTCAAACAATGGTGGCAGTCGAAAATCAATCATCAGAGACTTAAATACAAGGAATCATGGAACGAATCCAATCATATTGTTGCAGTTTTTTTCCTCATCACATGATTTTAAAAGAAGGAAAGAAAATAGCATACAGAAACATAAATCCTAAAATTTGAGAGAACGAAGAAACCTAATCGAAAGGAACCTGTTTGACTGAAACCTTAACAGATTGAAGAGGCAACATACTGAGACCCTGTGAGTTAAGCCCTTGCTTTGCGTATTTATAAGCAAGGAGAAACCCTAAAATTAGAACATGGATGCGGAATGGGCCGGGTCCTGATAATTTGGGCCTTTTCTCTCTTCTGTTAACTTTCTTTATTCATATAATGGCAAGGATTTCGGTGTGCAACTCCAATTGTTTCAAAAATTCCATAATTAATCTTAATGAATACTTTATTTCTCTTTTTTATTAAACTCATTCTATATCTCTTTTAATGGATATTTGACATCTTTAACGATTTGATTAACTGACTTCGAAATAGGATTTTGTATTAAATAAGATTTCGAAATCAGATAAATATTTAATTTAATATATTAAATAGGATTTTGTATTATTGTATATATTAAATAATTTTAAAATATTAAATTAAACTAAGAATATATATTAAATTTTAAATAAAAAAATTTAAAAATTTATTAAACAGATTTTAAAATTGGTTAAAACATGTTAACAGATTGTTAATACATGATAATCCGTTTAACAAATTTCTTTAAAATTTTGTTTTTTATTTAAATTTTAATAAACATTTAATTTAATACTCTAATATAATCAGATTTTATATTTTTGTTATGTTTGTTTTATTATTTTCATTATTACTTTATTCTAATTATTTTTAATTTATTTTTACTCTTTTAATATAACTATTATATTAACAGAAATTATATTTAATAATTATTAAAATATAAATATATATTGAATAACATCAAAATTTTAAATTAAACTACATTATTATTTCATTTTAAATTTAAAAACAGAATTTTAAAAAGTTTGTTAAACGGTTTCTGAAATCCTGTTAATATATTTAACAAAAAATAAATAAATTTTGTTTTTTAATTTAAAAATTAATAAATACTTATTTAGTTTAATATTTAATATATATTAATATATACTATCGTTTTAAAATTTATTTTACTCAACTAAAATACGAGGGAGAAATTCAAGCATTCTGAACTATGTTAACCAGGGGGAGTTTACCGTTTAGAGAATTTTTTTTTACATGCTGTCTAATCCATATTAATACATTGTTTAAAGTGTGATAAGAATTACTACCATGATATTTTAACAATCTTTTTTAATAATTTTTTGACAACTATTGCATTGGTTCATATATTTAAAATAGATCAATCACAAACTATCACATAGATTGTTTTAAAAGATTATAAAAAAAATTATTAAAAAAATATTTTCCTAAGATTTATTTATGCAAGTTCATTCTCAGTTGATTATTATTTATTTCACTCTAATTCTCTTCTATTTCTTTGCTCTAATATAATTCTTTTTATTTATACTTTGAGACATTACATTCATGCATCTACATATGCTCTGGAAAATTATTTGTAACTTATGAGAAGCCATATATCATTCATATGCATATTGCTTTGATAATACGAGCATTATACGTATATATAATATCCTTTGATGCTTCAATGATTGTATATATTTTGATAGCTTGTGTGAAAATGTTCCATATCGATGACATTTGCTATGAGATTTCGTTAAAGCTTTTATACTTCGTTGAATAAAGTTTTACGTAAGATTTTGATAGTATTAGATTGAACAATTGCTTTACTTCGGTAGTATGAACCTCCTATTCTAAATATATACAAAGAGCTATAATGAAATTCGACTAACATGATAGTTTTGACAAAATATTTTAAATTATTTCTTATTTTTTTTTTACAATGTTCTATAGTATACATTTCGTGTTAGCATGAGTATTTGCTAAATATTAAAATTGGAAAGATTGTTAAGATAACATCGTCTAATGAGATAATATCATCTAATAACTTATGTTTTGAAATTTAACAAACTATGTTTAACGAAATAACATTTAATAAAATAAACTCTCTAAAATAAGATTACTAAACATTGTAATCATATGAACACTATCCTAAACGCTCAACATTACTTTAAAAATATAAACTGTTTAAACGTTAACTACACATACATTGCCTAAAAGCTTAAGGTATAACGTATTAAATGCATGTATGTATAGTATTATTTTATCTATTGTGTTGTGTTCTCTTTATATGTGCAAATTATAAAAGTACAAAGCTTTTTCAAATGTTTTGCATTAGATCAGAAGAATGTTAAGAGATAGGAAGACATTATGGAAATGTTTTCAAGTGCTTTGTACTCTGCATCCACACAAGCTATCTTTGCAAAAACATATAGCATCTGACTTCATACCAAAAGGATACTTACCTACGACCATATCTTTTTCAAAAAAGACTATATAAAGATAATTGTATGAAGAGAAGATAAGCATAATACACTCATTATTGTTATGCTCTCAAAATTTCGTTGTCTAGCATTGTCTTTGAAAAATTAAAGTTTATCACAAGTCTTCAATTTATTTGTAATGAAATCTTATCCTCTTTGTGAAAGTTATAATTTGTATTTGTTTCCTAAAACACCTTTGATGTGTTTGTATATTCACAAGTAAATTAAAATACTTTGTTTGACTTAGTAAAGTTAAATGGTCCAATCAATTAGACAAAGAGGAGTGGTGAAACTCATCTAACTATTGAGTTGGTTGTAAAAACAAGAGTAATTAAACTCATTATAATCTTTTAGTAAAATCTTTAAGCTCTTAAGAAAGAATTGGATATAGTTCAATTTAGAACGAATCGGTATAAAAATAAATTTGCTTTATTAATTTTGGTTTTAAAAGTTTTTCTAAATACTTTTAAAAATATTTAAGAGTGTAACTTATTGCAAACCGTCTACTGTAAAAACACTTATTTTCAAAAGTTTAAAAAAAATCTATTCAACCCTCTCATTTTCAATTTTTTTCCTACGTTTCATTTAATATATCATAAAAAAATTAATAGAAATTTAATCAAAATATATTCAAACAATATTATATATATATATATATATATATATATATATATATTTAATACAAAGAAGTAATAATTTCCACATATTAGGATTCATCACCAACTTACTTGAAATATGATCCTACTTGTGTTTTGAATTTAATTTTACATTCTATCTGTTGCTGTTGTCTTCAATACACATTATATACTAATATTGTATATTCTCAGTAATACTTGTATACCAATAAAATTATTATTATATGATAAAACTATATGAAATATTATTTTAAATAATATTTTATGAATAAAAAACTAACTAGTAATATAATGAAGTATTACATAATTTATAATTTATCGCTAATAGCTTATTAAAAAATTTATAAAAAGTGTATAGGATTATGGTACTTAAAAAAGAATATTAAATATACTACATAATTGAATTATACAATTAAAACTAACCCAATTTTTTTAATAATAATTTATATTTTTCATACTAAATTCGTTGATGATAGGAACAAACATTAAAAAATTGTTAAAAGTAACAAAAGTAATTTATTAACATTAAATTGATCCATGACAATATTTGCAAATTGTAGGACTTAACTTAAAATATATTTAAGTTAAATGTTTTATGTTATTTTAGTTAAAGTAAGTGTGATAGGAGACTAAGAGTCTATGAGAGGAGAAGGAAGAGTTAGTAGAGTTAGTTACTCTAACTGTCTTAACAGTTAGAAAGGGCGCGGGTTAGACTTGTATATATAGGTAGTAGTTATCTGCTGAAAGACACTTTTGGACTACTTGTATTCTTTGTACAGAATTTGTTATTCCTGTGGGGGAGGTTAGGCTCCCATAACTGTCCTGTATCTGACTTTCTTGCTGTTAATAATACGTGTAGAGATTATTCAGTGTTCAGTGTGAGCTCTCCGCGTGTGTTAGTGAGGTTTTATTTAGGTTTATTGATTAGAAACCTAACAAAGTGTCTATAAAATTCTTAATTTAAAATATTCTTTTATTACTTTGATTATATTAATTAATATTTTTTATCTTTGATGTTAAACTAACAGTAGCTAATACTACAATAATGTTAAATTTGTTATTTTCTTACTAGAAGATGGCGATTTTGACATAATCATTACATATTCAATGCCTCATTATAAAAAAAATATATATAAAATTTAAGCATAATCTATATATAGGTCTACAGTAGCAGTTAACTTAACAAACATTCATTTTCATTACTGATGTCCACTTGTTAACTATTGCTTTGTTCTCCTTCAAGCAAAGACCATGTACGCTTAAGGGTCAACATCACCCTTTTCCTTCCTTTTATGTTAAGATTATCCACATCAAATCTTAGAGTAAAATTCAAGAACAAACTTATTTTCTCATACATATATATATAAAAGTAAAAGTGTGTTAGGTGTTCATACCATTCATTTACCAAGATTCAGAATAATGCAGCTGCCAAAGTGTAATGTGGCTTTCTTTTTCTTCCTGATCTGCTCTTCCCTTTACTGTGGTAATTCCATATTCATCTTATTTTTCATGTTAATATAGCTTATAGGTTAACAGTTGAAGTGGGTTGTCTCTAATGTTTACATATTTAGTTTTTGGAACTTGTATGAACTCTGATTGATTGTTCTATAACAATGTGTAGAAATTAGTGTGTGAGCAGTCAGTACAAATGGATTTTAGGTTATCATTTAATCAGAAATTGTCATGTTGTTTATTGACATTTATAAGGATTAGTTCAAAAGTTATTCATCTGATGTTTCTCAATGGTTGATGATGTAAACAAATTAAATTCAATTGCTAAGAATGAAAAGTATATATGCAGGAAATGCAGAGGCGCATCAAGTTGCACTCTATGTGCACAACAAATGTCCCTTTCCAATATGGCCAGCAACTGCACCAAACAGTGGCCAACCAGTGATAGCAGATGGAGGATTCTACCTTGCTCCAGGTCAAACCGAACGTGTGATAGCACCATGGACATGGAATGGTAGAATCTGGGCAAGAACAGGTTGCAATTTTGGTTCAAATTGGAAACCAGCCTGTGAAACTGGGGACTGTGATGGAAGACTAGCATGCAATGGACTCATAGGCACTCCCCCAGCAACACTGGTTGAAGTTTCACTTCAAGGAGGAAAGCCAAATTACTATGATGTTAGCCTTGTTGATGGCTACAACATCCCTGTGTCTGTCACTCCCAAGATCACAAACCCCAAATGCCTCATTCAAGGGTGCTTGAAGGATGTCCGAGCGTTGTGCCCTCCTGAACTTGAGGTGCTGAATTCCAAGGGAGAAGTTGTGGGATGCAAAAGTGCTTGTTTGGCCTTTGATGATGACAGGTTTTG